CCCCCCCCCCCCCCCCCCCCCCCCAGCCTGTCTGCCTGTCTGATTGTGTTTGTCTCAGACAGCCCCCATGTGGTGCAGCTGCAATTTTGGGGGTCATGGGGACCGCTGCCACTCTGATCTCTGCAGAAAAGGTTAGTGTGGTGAGAGCACAGCTCACCTGAGCAGATCTGAGACAACGGGAAGACTTTCAGGACCCCGTGAGATACGGTAGTGCAGCAAGACTGCACAGAGGCCATCGCAACCATTCCTGTCGTCATGGAGACCGAAAGATCAAGTCAAAATCATGTTTTTATTCTGCTTCCCGCCCCGTCCTCACACCCAGGCTTTAGTCCTGACTTTTCCCTGACATGCACACACTGATAGTTCCTGGTTCTGTGGGTGCTGATAGTTCCTGGTTCTGTTGGCATCTCTTCTGGGCCGTGATGGTGCGAATCCCAGTGGGGTCTGTGGCTTTCCAGGAGGTTGTTGGGGTGCGTCCTCAGCAGCACTGCCCTTTTTACTGATGAAGGCTGAAGGTTCGAGGGAGCATGTCTGGGGCCATGGGAGGGGGCTCACCCACCCTCACAGCCCACCTGAAGCCCTCATGACCTACAGCCAATATGTCCACCAGTGCCTTGGACTCCATGCATTCCTACTTTTTTGGTTTCTATGGCAACCCTGATCCACAAACCCCCCCCCCACCACCCCAGTGCTTTTCCTGGGCCTCGACCTCCCACGTCGGCCCGCGTGACTTGGGTTTGACGCCCCGCTGAGTGCGTGAGAACAATGTCAGCCTGCCGTGCACCCCCGCTCTGCAATACACACTTAGGAAATCGCGAGCGTGACTGTGAGGATCCAGTTTGCAGCCTCCAGAGCGTCCACTTCGAAATATGAAAACGTGCACATGGGACACAAGTGGGGGGTCTCTTGGGGGGGGGGGGGGGGAGCATGGTGCTCAGTGCAGACATGTCAGATACTTTCAGAGATGCCATGAGACCCATCGCTTGGCATTTACCCGTATGTAATGCACATATCTGCTCCTCCAGCAGTGAAAGGCCCGTGACCTCATGTTTCTGACACAGCCGTGAGCGATTGCGAGGACGATGCGGGTTATTTTATTTTGGTAACAATGCTTAAATATATCCCATTACACGCCAACGTGTGTAGAGTAATCGGAGAGCGCCGGTGTAACGTGGCGAGGTGGAGGATAGTCCGCTCAGGACGACTTTGTCTGCACGACTCATTTTTTATTAATAACCTGTGTGTGCTCAAAGACCCTCGCTGGCTAATATTGATCACAGGCTATGGTTCAGCGAGGCCTTTGTTGGAGAGGAAGTGGATTTGAAAAGGGGGATAAAAAGGTCACAGCTTTAAAGAAAAGAGAAGGGATTGTGGGTAGTGAGTGGCGGCCCAGCGGGTGTTTCACAGTGCTGTCACATGGTCTCTCGTTCCGCGCGCCGTGCCTGACTCTGACGTGATGCTAACGAGGCGGTTAATTTGCCGGGAACGATGAGGCAGGAGATCATTTCAGGCCAGCATGCGAGTTGTTCTTAAACGCTGCTTGCTGGTGTGTCGTAGACCAACCTGCAGAGGCTCTTGAGACGCTAAGATCTCTGGGGTTTCTTCCCAACACAGGCGTGGCTGATGGGTTGTGGCATGGCTGTATGTTAACCTGCACCTAAGAAGGACACGTTGCCATGGCAGCAAGTTGCATGCACCATGGTTACTCTTACTTAGTACATGACATCATCTACCTCCCTGCCTGGCTGGTAGACTTGCTGGATGCACCAGCTGCCCTTTGTGTTGATGGTTCATCTAAAACCCTTGAATGTCTTCATGTAGGACAAAGTCCCTGAGACCCATTTGGTGTTGACCAGCTCACAGATTTAGCTCACAGTGTGAACATGCAGATAGTATCTGACCGTAACGATGATAGTTCCTTGGTGTTTATCTGCAGGTCTCAATAGGAAGCTTTTCCTTTCTTTTCCTACAGAGTCAAGGCCTGACCGTGGAGGTGGGGAGGGAGAGCATGTGCCCTGAGGTCATCAGCATCAATGGCCCAGTGGCCCCTGCCCTGCTTCGGAGCCCCCCCCTGCGAGAGCGGACTACACCCACACCTCAAACCTCTACACCGAGCACCTCTGCTGCTGCCTCCTTCTTCATAAGGTGAGGGTCTGCATTCACACAGAACCCCCCCCCCCCCCACCACGACCACCACCACCTTGACACCATGAGCTTGGTGCTAGTCCCCTTAAGGTCTATTTTGGTCCTGCAACTCATCAACTCATAATGCGACATCGGCGATCAGCTCGAGCCCCATCTTAATCATCGTAACAAATCGCTAGTGCCACCACCTCCTGGGAGTTGGGAGGGAGCAAAAATGTGGACCGTCTGCGGGTCCCCGAGGACCGGCTTGGACTCTGAATTTTCCCCACCTGGACCACCTGTAGACTATTAAGGACTGCCCACTGTAATGGAATAAATTGCTGATGAATTCCTAGGCTGGTTACTTGGGAATAGAGTGGCTCCCCAGAGCCTATCCTGGGTGTCTGGGTGGCTAGGAGCTGTGTGGAGTGGGAACAGGGTAAGGCAACCCCGTAGGACATCAGCAGACCAGGCCTTGCGAGGTGGGGTGATCATAAGCACCAAAGCCCTCCACAGGGGTTCGTGACTGTGAGAACTGCAAAGCAGACCTCTGGTATATGACCAGGACCATGCCCTGGTCAGTACCACCAGGACCAGGAACAATGCCAAACCAGAACAGAAGGGTGGACAACCTAGCGTGTTGAGGTGTGCCCTGCTAGAAAGCGGGCGGGCCCGGCTGGAGAGGAGTGCAGGACTGACCCCGCTAATGCCGGGGTTAATTTTGTCTCCTGCTTTATCTGCTTCCATGTTGGCTTTGGCTCTGTTTTCGCAGCGGGAATGTGGGAGAGAGATGCGGGAAGCGAGGTGAGGCCTTCGGTTTCATCCCGACATCTTTCTTAGCCAAGATTTTTTTTTTGTCTGACTGAGTTTTGCAAAACAAAACAGTGGCTGTGCCAAATCCGAACCCTGGAACTCCTCACTGTGCCTCCGGGTGAAGGTGATGCGGGAGGACATTTTGTGGTCAGATAATATGATTGTTGTTGTTCCTTGACGGACTTGTGACTTTCTTGCTCGTTTAATCTTACAAAGGAGCATTCAGGTCACTGGTGCACTATACCCGGCACACTGTGGGAGTGGGGGGGGGGTCATTTGCGGGACACAGGCCGCCTTTGTTTGCAGATGCAGAATACCCCCCATCTGCCCAGCGACGGGCACGCATGTCGGCAGATAGGCTGAGGAATGCTGTGTTTGCAGAACACGCTTGTAGAAACGTTCTTGTGACCAAAATTACAGGCAAACTCCAGTGTAAGACAGGAGGAGTGTAGGACTGTGCTGGGCCAGTATGTGACACAGTGGGTTAGTACAGGGTATCTGTGATCAGAAGGTTGCTGGTTCGAATCCCAGGGTCAGCAGAGCAATGTCACTTATGGGTCCCTGAGCAAGGATCTTAACTCCCACCTGATCCAGGGACTGGCTGACTCTGCCATCTCAATTGCCGTCGATAAATTAAATGAAAATGGGGAGACACCGAGAGGAGCATTCAGGTGCAGATTAATGTGTTCATCAAACCATCCCATATCTGCCTCCCAGTCCAAGGGTGAATTCATTAGGCTCCCACCCCCAGCTTGGGCCTTCATTCCCACCCCCGGTCATGTGTGAGTCGCATTCCCCGGCCGCATATATGTGTTTAGCGTGGAGCCTCTGCAGCCCCCCCACATGACACACAGACCCACGGTTCCCTCACCAGTTAAGCCCTGTTTAGTCTTTTGCCGATTGATGGGGGAGGGGGCTGCCGCTGGCCGCTTAGTGTGTGACTGAGCATATGTTTAACACATCGTCTACGGCAACTTAATGATGGAAGGGAAAATGGGGGCACAGATGCTAAATGGCAAATACGCCTCAGCGGCGTGCATCCCCCAAGCTGGTTAGTGGGGGGGGGGGGGGGGGGGGCAGGTATATGCAGGGTGAGCAGAGGCAGTAGGTGGTTCCTGGATAGAAACAGAGGGTTACATACCCAATTGTTGCTTCTGTGTGCTCTCTGGTTAATGGGCGGGGGGGGGAGGCTGGGAACAGTGCAGGCTGCTGTTCTAATTAGTCACGGACTGCCTTTTTAGACAGGAAGCGTAAACTCTCTTGGGGGGGTGGTGGTAGAATTAGTCTGTGGCATCAGGAGCGGCACCGGAGGGGGCAGGGGGTAGGGACCCGTGGAACGGCTGTCTGGTGGAGATTGGTGACCAACCCCCCACCCCCCACCTTCAGCTGAGCTACCTGGTTAGGAGATTGTCGCCAGACAAGCCCCCCACTTTTGTGCCAGATGCAGAGGCCCCACAAAGTAACCATAGAAACAAAAGCTTCCCCTCCTCTGAGATGAAATGCACAGCATCCGGGCCTCATTACAGAGCGGTCCTGCCACCCCTGGCCGGGATTAACAAAGCCTCCTCGCTCCCCACTGAGCTTACATGTTTTATTTAAGATGCGCAGGAAGCAGGTCTCACTGCGCTTGTGCGAGTGACTGAAGACCCTCGTGAATGACTGAGCTCACTTTAGAACAAAGCGCAGGAGGCCATGGGCCGGCCAGCACCACACCGCTGCCTCGTTCTCCTCTGTGAGCTTCAAAGGGCATCTTCAAAGTTCTCATGAATGCCAATAGTGGCCGTCTTTACCTATTAATACTCTGTTTGACGCCCCCTGGGGGGTAGGATGGGCAGTTGATGGCAGAGCTGCTGAGCTGATGGCACTCAGGAAGGGGGGGAGTGCAGGTCAGCGGTGTGTCCTTTCCTTCCTGTGTGAAGTGGGGTGGGGGGTGTCACTCTGCACCGCGTCACACCCCCCTGCAGGACGGGGACATAGTAGAGTGAGGGATGGAGAGAGAGGAAGAGAGAGTGGGGAAATCCACACTAATCACCCATTTGGGCAGCAGAGTCTGAGTGACGGCCATAATCCTCGTCACTAACATTGATTCACAGCGGAGGGACTTGGGTTGAGTTGGGGGGGGGGGGGTGTTGCTGTGAGGTAGCCGCTGGGCCATGCTGCTAGGGGGAGGTGGAAAGGTGGGGGCGGGCAGTAAACAGGCCGGCAGCACGTTCTGAGCTCAGTATGCTGGCCGCCTGCAGAGGAGATACATGGTGGACAGGTTTGGGCTGGAGCTTCACGGCATCAGGACAGGAGAAGATCATGGGGCTCCGGTAAGTGGCACCCAAGGTCGTGCCGTGATGCTGTCCCTCACACAGACTCCCCTTCAAATGTTTTGGGGTTTGATACGGCTGTCTGTGCTGCCGCCTGTCAGTCTCCATATGTCAGGGCACAATCTGACGATCGCAGTCGCCATTTTTAGGTGTCCGATTTTTATGCCTGTGTGTTATAGACAGAGAAGTGGGTCAGTTTTCCTGGCGTTTTATTGCTTTTGTTGTTCTGGAAAACTTAGCAGAAATGCGGTTGTGAAAATTAGCCTGTTAAGTAAAGCTTGATGACTTTAAGTTGATGACTTTAAGTTGATGACTTTGAGTGCAAAGAATTGAAACAGCTGACATGAGGGCACTACTTTTTCAGAAGGGGGGGGGGGGTTGTTTGGTGCTTATTTATTTCTACAGCCTGACACCTCATGTGTTTTCCTGAACTTTATTTGGGCTGATGTTTTTCCACCCTTATCTGGCCCCCCAGGTTCACCATCCCAAAGGCTTGTGTCCTGATAAAAGGGGGAAGACCAGTAGCTAAGTTGTCCAAGCCCATCGCCGCTGATCTGCACCCCTGTTTACTTTGTGGTCTGACACCAGCTGGTCTTATCACGCGGTAATAAGGCTATCAGCCTCTCCGTGCTTAATGGCAGCTGTGATTTGGGCTGTGACTTAGACGGGTGCGATAAGCCCAGGTGTTAAGGGCTATCACTGGCCTGTCTAGCAGAATGAGAATGTATATAGGTGTTGAGTGAACCCCCCCCCCCTCTCTGAAGAGGAGCTAGGCTTCTTCCTGTCCTGGGGGACTATTGTTTCAGCTTCCCAGCCAGATGGGACCTCTCACAGCTAGCCAGCTACCTCCTGCCTCTCTCCGTTAATGGGTGTTAATGGTCCTGCTGGTTCCAGATCCAGTTTGACCCACCCCCACACTGTACCTGCCAGCCGTGCAGAAAACACAGCTGAGCTCCAAAGGAGAACTTCTCCCATCTTTGGGAAAACACTTTTTAAGATCTATTTATGTGCAGGCCGCTAATAAGGAAAGCAGGGTGTATATTTGAGTGCTTTGCTTTGTGTTGGGAGCTGATTCCAAACTGAGCCGTCAATGTTAGGAGTCTGTGGAATTTCCCATGCGGACAGCTCTGCTGTGTCCTTGTTTGCTCTAGTCAGCTTTAAAGGAGAGGTAATTGTTAACAGACTTAACAGAGGCGTAAACGGGAGTCCATGCTGCTGCAGGAGGCCACCTCTAAGGTTGTGCCGTTCAGCCACCACACCGGGGTGAGTTTTCTCTTGTGGGGGGGGGATTGTTATTTACGAGACCTGAAAGAAAAGCGCTGACTGGTTAGTAGTAGTGGTGTCCCAAGCAGGTCCTTTCATTTGGGACACAAAGGGGCTCAGTGTCAATCAAGCGGGGGCGGGGGGGGGGGTGGAACATCCTGTGCTTCCTGTCACCTGATGAAGGAGCACCTTTGTGCCTCGGGTGGGGAGGGGGGCAGCCATTCCCCTGAGTTGTCATTTCTCAGACAGATAAAGACATATGCTGCAAAGGCTTGTGGGTAAATGGCGGGTGTTGCTGACCATTCAGTTTACAGGTACAGAAAGACCAGCTCCTGCAGCTCAGACTGGCCATCCCTGGACCTCATTCGCGCATCACTGAGAGGAAAAGGCGCCACACACACCCTTTAACTAACTTTCGTTCTTACTTCCTTCATCTGCACCTTATTGCTTTGTTGATTCTGTAACCCTTAAATCCAAAGTAAACTTTATTTTTCCCACCTTGAAGCTTTCACAGCTGCTGCTGTTAAGGCGAGACCACATGCCCGAGGTACCACAACTGGGCAGCACCTGGAACCGGCAGCTTTTGGGTTCCGGGTCTGTTTGCTTAAGCCCCATGCCGTCGGCTTCCCCGCTGAGG